TGTCCAGCGAGATCGAACGACGAATCTTCTCAAGCTTTTCGGCCCTCGCTTTGTCGTCCGCCTGTGCGATCAAGCCCCATGCCTTTGGCCACTGCAACACCAGCTTTTCAATGACCTTTTCGTACAGGAGGAGGGCGGCCAATGTAACAAGGTTCAACGAAATGCATGCCACTTTGAACACCCTCCAACTGACCAACCACTGTTGTAGGTTCTGAGGTCCAGGAAGCTCCCTCATCACGAAGGAGCCATCACCTATCGGTAGGAAGGCCCGGAACTTCTGGTTCTTAAGCACCCTCCTCCCGAACGGCAACCATACTGAGAAGTCCACGTAGGGCGGTTGGTTTTGAACTCGAACTCGATGATGTAGTGCCGCTATAACTGTGCATCCGTCGGCTCTTCTTCTTCATGAGGTGGAGCACCCATCACTGCTATGTACCTTTGAGCCCACTCGTTCAACAAGATCGCGTCCAGCAACTTGGTCTCCGAATCATCCGTCTGGTCAACAATGTTGGACATCTTCAAGACATTGTCTTTGTTCCCGCTGGGCCCACTGCTTCCCATAGCTGCTCCACTCGAAGCACTTGAGCCCCCACCAGCTCCTTCAGGAGGTCCCGGAGTTGAGTCGGGCATCCAAGGATCCTTGTCAACAAACGTGTCTGGGTTGCCTCCACCTTGCAAATGGATCACCCACCTTGCATTGCGCCACACCAGCCCCATTTGAGCAGCCTGGATGGGGTTCACGCGGTCTCCAGAGGCCAGCACAGCCGCTCCCACAATTTGCGGGATCGTCCACACGGGCATGGCAGCCAACAGTCGAATGTCGTTGCCCGGGTCTCCGGCCGTAACCGTGAAAGCGTCCCAAAGCGGGTCAGGAACACCGAGGTGCATCAGGAGGTCCGGCACATTGTGGATAGCCTGAGCGGTGGCCACCGCAAGCAACACCATACGGCGGCTCGCGCACCACCTAGCCACCGAAAAGAAGAAACTCAGTTCCTGAGGACTTGAGCCTCAGGCTTATGGAGGGGCATGGTCAACCCTCCCACCCTCCTAGAAACAAAGCAGACCTTTTGTCCTGCAGTACCTATGGTACTGTCACATATTTAACATACAGTACAGATTGTTGTACCTATATGTATATATATACATACGTTATGCACAAATATATGTACATATAGGTTATGCATATATATATATATGTAAATATATGAAACACCCAAAGTTGAAGCTGCACAAGTAGTTTTCCATATTTTTACCTATGGCGGCCATGATCGCTGTTCCCTTCGTGTGCTAGGGTCCCACACAGCTCCGTGCCACCCGAGCGCGGTCGGCCGTGGCCTTCCGGCTTGGAGTGAGGCCTTAGTTCTGTCATTCTGGCAGTGGCCGTGGCATATGGAACACGAAGGAAATCCGCCGGCCAGCCGGCGTGTCTTGTGGGTGCGCTTGTACTTGTACATCTCTGGTCTAACACTTATAAAGCTGTTCATGGTTTAGATTGCTCCTCTGCGCGGGCTTTTGTCTCATTAACTTGACCCCCGCCTCCCCCCCCACGCCACCGCTTTGCACGTCGTCGTGGTCGTCGTGGTCGTCGTGGTCGTCGTGGTCGTGGTGGTCGTCGTGGTCGTCGTCGTGGTCGTCGTGGTCGTCGTCGTGGTCGTCGTCGTGGTCGTCGTCGTGGTCGTGGTCGTGGTCGTGGTCGTGGTCGTGGTCGTCGTGGTCGTGGTGGTCGTGGTCGTGGTGGTCGTGGTCGTGGTGGTCGTGGTCGTCGTGGTCGTCGTGGTCGTCGTGGTCGTCGTGGTCGTCGTGGTGGTCGTGGTGGTCGTGGTGGTGGTGGTGGTGGTGGTGGTGGTCGTCGTCGTCGTCGTCGTCGTGGTCGTCGTCGTCGTCGTGGTCGTGGTCGTGGTCGTGGTCGTGGTCGTGGTCGTGGTCGTGGTCGTGGTCGTGGTCGTGGTCGTCGTCGTGGTCGTCGTCGTGGTCGTCGTGGTGGTGGTGGTGGTGGTCGTCGTCGTCGTCGTCATCATGATCATCATCATCGTCGTCGTCCTGCACGCGCGTTGCCTGTGCATTGCCTGCGCTTCACAGCGTTTTGCCATGGCGTTAAATGCATTTTGCCCACGGTTTGCGCCAACCACCATGTACACCCACCGACGGTTTACACCAACCACCGTTTACACCAACCACCGTTTACACCAACCCACAGTTTACACAAACCAGCGTTTACACCAAAACATGGTTTACACCCACCACCGTTTACACCAAACCATGGTTTAGACCAAGCACCGTTTACACCAAAACATGGTTTACACCCACCACCGTTTACACCAAACCATGGTTTAGACCAAGCACCGTTTACACCAACTACCCTTTACACCAAACCAAGGTTTACACCAACCAACCAACCACCGTTTACACCACACACCCGTTTACGCGTTTGCACCACACCACCGTTTACACTGTTTACACCAAACCACGGTTTGAGCCAACCACCGTTTACACCCAACCGCGGCCACACCCCACTTTACACGACTTTACAGTACAGTACACCAACCACAGTTCACATCAAGCCAGGGTTTGTACCAATCACCGCATGCTATAGGACAAGACCCACCTCACCCCTACTACCCGCGGGCTGGACCTCGACAGACCCTCTTGCCACCGACCCCTTTCCTCTACACCTATATCTAGACATATGTAAACCTTTTGGATTCTTACAATGGGCCTTTTACGTTTTTCAGCACCGGTCTAAGCCCACTCATGATTTACGTTACCTTCTTCGCGACTTTTTCCCACCTCTGCATTTCCACACACCCCTTCCCCTCCCCTGGCCGTTTCTCTGTTGCGTCTCCCACCCTTGAGCCAAGCTCCCTTGCTTATGCTTTGCTGGCTACATGTTGCTCATTTGCTTTCCCTTCACCCGCTCCACCAGCAGAGTCAATTTATGCCTTGCTCTAGGGCCAGCCCTTGCCGTTTCTTTGCTTTGTGTCTTCCCCTGCCTTCAGTCTAGCTCCCCTTCTCTTTTTGTTTGCTCGCGACCTCTGCACACATGCAGCAGCATTCAGCCATGGGAGGCCGGCGGCACACGCCATCAACGGCGGTTAAAAGGAACACTGGTTGGGTGTCACCCTATTAAAATACACACCCGTATGTCAAGCCAAACTACGGGAACCCCCGAGAGTGTCTTGGCCGCATCTGAACTGTGCAAAGTCCAGGGTCAAAGGCCTCTTCTGTGACACGCCTTCAGCAGCCAAAAAATCCAGAAAGGCCTTAAAAGGTGATTTCAGGTTTCTCAACGCCCAGGGGCTCCAATTCCCACTGGAAAAGTGTCCTCTTTCGCTCCGAGCTCTGAGCTCCCGCACGGGATGGGCACTTTGCCCACGTCCCGCGTTTTGCCTGTCGCGACCAGGGACGAAACACAACGGTTCGCGTCACCCGCAACGAGGCAATTAGCATCAAGCTCCCAGGCTCCCACCTAGATCTAGTGGAATTCTCAGGGGAATTCTACTAGTAGCTCCTGGCATCGGTACTAGATGCTACTAGTAACAAGTACTACTAGGAGCAAGAACGCTATATACTATATAGTAGGAAGTTACAGTAAGCACTGCTCACCTTTGGTCATCGAGGTGTCAACATGAATATCTCATCTTGAATATCAGTCCTATCATTGTCTGATATTGTCTGCTCATCATCTCACCGGCGCCACAAGGACCAAAGGCCTGATGATCATCCTTCCAACGAATGTTCCCTTCATCCATGCGTAGATGACATGACCATCGACATGTATAGGACACCTTACAAAAGATATCTGATCCTTTCTGGCACAACATTGGCAGTTCGGCCCTGTTCCCACCCTATAGCGGATGATGCTTGAAATCAACGAAGATCGACCCTTTAATATTCTTGATATGTAAGCGTGTTGCAAAATCTGGGTTTCCTTGGCTATCAAACCTGAATATACCAGCGCGCTCAGGCTTTTCTCAATTTGTTCAATGACTAGAGATGCGGAAAAAAGAAAGAGTTCACGACGTGAGGTTGATCCAATCTTGTAGAACGTTACCTTCTTCTCTCCCTGCTGGTATGTGCAAGCGACACGTCTGCAAATCATGCAGTGGCCGGGGAGGACGCGTGATTTCTCGCGCCTGCCCTGAGCCATGGATCAACACTCACTGCCCTGCTCGTGCTGTCGTTTGAAGAACTTCGTCAGTGCGACTTCACAAATGTTGATTCTTCTCAGGTGAGTCCATGTAGGCCTAGTCCTTGGGGCCAAAATGAATGACGAAGCCCATCAAAAGACAGACTCGAGGTAGCTCATATGCAAGGCGAGCAGATTGACTTGATGCAAGCAAACTTGCGTCAACACCTGCTCCCCTACATTCGCTTGCATTCGCCCTCGGCCTCCAGGACTCTGAAAATCATGCAGGTATTCGACAAGTTCACCGGCGTTTTGTCTGAACCTCTGCAATGCACACATGGGTTCTTCACATGCTATTAGAAACAATAAGCTACTAGGAACAAGTGCATCGCTTCTAGTAACAAGTGCCT